CTTCAACAGAAGAATGGATACAGGAAATGTGGCACATTTGCACAATGGACTCCTACTTAGCTATTAAAAACAATGACTTCATGAAATTTACAGGCAAATGGATTGAACTAGAAAATATCATCCTGAGTGATATAACCCAGACACAGAAGAACACACATAGTATGTACTCACTGATAAGTGGATATTAACCCCAAAGCTCAGAATACTCATGATACAACTCACAGACCAAATGAAACTTAAGAAGAAAGACCAAAATGTGGATGCCTTAGTCTTACTTGGAAAGAGGAACAAAATAATCATGGGAGATATAGGGATGGACGGACCTGGGAGGGATATAGGAGTGGGATGGGGAAAAAAGGGAGGCAGGATCAGGTATGGGAAGAGACAGGAGAGAAGTATAGAGGGTCAGAAAATTGAGTAGAAATTTGTAGCAGTGGGGGATGGAGAACTGGGGGTAGCCACTAGAAAATCCCAAATGTCAAGGAAGTGAGAGAGTCCCAGGACCCAACAGGGATGACATTAGCCTAAATACTCAATAAAGGTGAGATAGAACCTATAGATACCACTCTAGTACATAGGCACAGCCCCCATTTGAGGGATGAAGTCACCTCCCACCTCAAATTTTTAACCCGGAGTTATTCCTGTCTAAACTAGATGCAGGGACAAAGTAAATGGAGCAGAGACTGGAGGAAATGCCATCCAGAGACTGCCCACCTAGGCATCCATCCCATTTGCAGACACCAAACCCCAACACTATTGCTGATTCTAAGAAGCACTTGCTGACAGGATCCTGGTATAGCTGTCCTGAGAGGTTTGGCCAGCACTTGACTAATACAGATGCAGATACTCACAGGCAGCCATCAGTCTGAGCCCAGGGACCCCAATGGAAGAGTTAGGGGAAGGGCTGCCCCAGTTTGCGAGGCAGTGAACTGGAACTGGGGGACCATCTGAAAGAGAGAATGGGGGACAAGGGCACACAAAGAACAACAGCCTGTCTAAAAGTCTGATCAAGCTGTCAAATCTTAATTTTTCCACATGGGGGTTATATATACATAGAAGCAGGATATGGGGAGAAGGATGACATAGTCTTCTTCTTTGTTTCTGGGGAGTTCAGGTGATCTCAGGAACAGGATATTGGCTGGATGAAGAGTTCACAAAGGAAGCAGGATGGAATATGTCATTATGTACCCATCTATAAGATCTATTATTCATTTGTTCTGATCTAGGCTAGTACTTTCCCATCAAGGCTACCTGTCCATTAGATCTATGATTATTTGTTCTTATCTAGGCTGGTACTTTCCCACCAGGTCTACCTGTCTATAAGATCTATAGCTATTCCCTGTTCTAGGGTTAGTACTTACCCACAGAGACCAAGACTTTGTGTTAGTAGCCATGTATGGCTGACTTAAGCCTATGGCTGACTTAGGCCATTAATGTATAAGCAAGGTTGCTCCCAACAAAAGTCTGAAGGAGATGAAGGAGATTGTAACCCAATAGAAAGAACAACAATATCAACTAATTGGACTACCCAGAGCCCCCAGGGACTAAACCACCAACCAAAGAGTATATACATGGAGGGATCCTTGGCTCCAGCTACATATGTAGCAAAGGATTGCTTCATCTGGCATCAGTGAGAGGAAACCCCTTAGTCCTGTGGAGGCTTGATGCCCCAGTGTAAGAGGATGCTAAAGGGGTTAGGCAGGAGCAGGTGTGTGGGTGGAGGAGCAACCTCATAGAGGCAAAGGGGAGATGGGATGGGGAGATTGCGAATGGGAAACCTCAAAGGTAGACAACATTTGAAATGTAAATAAATAAAATCATGAATAGAAAAACAGAGATGATATTGGAGATAGGAATTTTGGAGAGTCTGTATGAGGCTCCCCTTTGATGGGGCAAGAATAGTAGGCAGGTCAGCTAGAGGCTGCATAGGAAATGCCAGGAGTTTGATCCTTATGAAGGTTTCAATAAGAAATGTCCCTCATAGACTCAGGCATATGACCACGTGTTCTTGAGCTGTTTGGTGTGATTTCAGAGTCATAACCTTTACAGTCAGATCATCCTTGGAGAAGTTTTGAGACTAGGAAGCCCTGAACCACTTCCTATTCTATCTCCTTGCTTTATGTTTGCAGTTCTAGATTTTAGTTCTCATCTTCTTGCTCCTGTCACAACACTGACATCTTGATGCCATGCTTCACTGCCATGGAGGACCATAAACCCAAATAAATTGCTTTCTTTATAAGTTGTCTTAGTCACGATGTTTTATTACAGCAACAAAAAAAAGGAACTAAAAGTTGCTCAGATGGAGATTGGGAGGGGTCATTTCCCAGTCTTTAGAAGGCCACAGTAGATCTGAGAGCTCTGTATGCCTCCACTAATTGCTACCTAATCGAAGCTAGAAGAACAGTGAATTAGTAAAGTACTTGTGTATCAAGCCCAATACCAGCATAAGTTGTGAAAACTACCAAGTAAACTCACATGTGTTAACTGAGCCTGAGTCTGAGATGCCATTTTTCTTTATCACAGGTAGTAACCCTGAGATTCTTCAGACAGGAAAAGTCCTTCTATGCCATTCTCAGCTATAGGCTGTGTCTGACTAGACATGCTGGGGATATCACAGGAAAACATGACCAACCTAGATGTTTAAATAGGTGGTTCTATGTTGTGAAACCAAAATTAACTAAGTAGTCTGTCTCTGGACATTATGGAATACAAGTTACTCACATGTAACACTCAGATTGACTGTGTCACATTGTTTTGCCCTCACAAGTGTTTTACACTAAAAGTGTTTAGTGTTTTAGTGTTTTACACTAAAAGTGTCCTGTGTGAACTCTCATAGCATTAATTAAGGTATATTCCTGTTGTTTTCAATAACTTCAGCCTGTCACCTTCTAACCACTCATCCACCATAGAGTAGGTTATATCCCAAGTCTCAGGTTGATGTTTTAATGCCACAAATCTTCACTCACCGCTGAGCTGGATTTATTGCCTATAGTTGTGTGTTGTGCTGTGCAGACATGAAGGGTATTTCCCTGTGTTGATCCTTTGATCCTTGCAAGTGACTTTCCACTAGTGTTGGCATCTTGTCTCCATGTTGACCAGACTTCAAAGGGAATGACTGAGAAGGTGAACCTCTGGCAGAGGCAGGAGTATCTGAGTGCTCAGAGATGGTGTGACCTCCTGTGCTATGTTAAACAGCACAAGACTTTCACAGATGTGAGCAGAGCTCAGAGCTAGGATGGCCATGCAGCCCAAAGTTCTGTGTTCCTCTAAATGTACTGACCTCCTCTGCTCATCATGGGCCAGTTCCCTCTAAGGCTTTGGTGTCTAAGGCTACCCTACTGATAGGTGGTGGTGAGAGCTCCAATCGTGCTTCTCCCGGAATACTTATAGATGGACCTCAGGGTTCAATGTTTGAACAGAAGCAGAAATGCAGGGAACTATGTCTTTCAGTTCAGTGGTCTAGTTAAACCACAACTTGAGCCATTGTGCTTAGATGGTTCATGATAAGCCACTGTTTACCTAAGGATTAAGCATGAATCTGAAAATGAAGTAGCAATGTGTAATATATTATATGTGGGGTTTGAGATACGAGATGATATATGATTGATATATATGATACAAAATTGTGATATATTGTGAGGCAGTAGGCTATGAGAAAGCCAGAAAGCCTGGTAGGAACCTTTGAAGCTCCAGAGACCTCGGCCTGAAAAGGGCTAACAGGATGGTAGGTTGCTTCAGATTCCCAGGCCATATGGCCCTCTTAGCTTCTGCTTCCCACAAAGAGACCCGTGAGACCCTTATCACGTAGGATAACACCTCCATTCAAATAAGGCATCCCCAAACCCTCAAGCCAAACCAATAGGGGTTACCTGTTCTTTCCCCCGAAACTGTATATAACCCCAGAGCTAGAATTAAATTACTACTGCTATGTGGTGCAAGGTCTCCTGCTGTCGGAGTGCTTTCAAGATTCCTCGCCAGTCACGCATTTCAAAGGACAACTCTCTCCTCTCTTCTCAGCGGGAAGAGCGAGCTGAACTGAAAGAGCTGAAACACTTTTCTTCCATGGGTTCTCACGAGCTACCCTCAGAAGGAGAGAACTAAAAGAGCTGATAACATTCTCTTGCTTTTGGAGACTGGGACGGAGGTCCCACTCCACTCAACCGGAAGGCGTGCTTGAGCTGTGCCCTGGTTCACAGTTGCGCTCTCCTTTATCATCACTGCCGCCACCCCCGCCTCTGGGGTTTTTGGGCGACCAGAGCATGAGCCTCGCCCCGCCAGCTGCCGAAGGCCCTGGGCCAGCTCGGCTGGCTCCTTCCACACCCCCGACCCAGGAGTCTGCTCACCCACCCCCGTGGCTCGGCCTGGAGCTGATGCCAGCTGCCAACGACCCCAGTATCCTGAGGCGGTTCCATCAGCCCGCGATCCCTAGGCGCGAGCACTGCCCGACAATATATGGCGTGATATATAATTCACAATATGTAATATAATCCCATATATCTCAAAACATGTATAAACATTATACATGTCATTATGAGATCTGACTGTAAAAGCCATTATGAGATCTGACTGTAAAAGTCAGTTTCAGGATAAAAACAGTGAGTAGAACACTACACCAAGGATTTTAAACATGGACATCAAACAAATTGTGGGTCAAAACTATTTAGAAACTACCTATGGTCACAGTGAACCATGGGCAGTCCCTTCTCCTGTTACTCTTCCTCACTTCCCATGGAAGACTAGTGGTATCCAGGTAGAATGGTTGTTAGATGAAACTATTTGAGCATATGAGGGGATGTTTATCTCCATGCAAACACTGCATTTAACAGTGGACTTGGAACATTTGGAAGCTTGAGGCTCCTAAAGTTAGTCTTCATAGATTCTTTTAAAAAGGCTATCTATTTGAGCCACAACCTAAGCTCTTAACTTCAATCATGTCTATTATATTAATTTATTATTATATTAATGTCTTTATTTTGCTTTGGAAAACAAGTTTCATAATTAGTAACCATGAAGGCAGTACATCAGTGAGTGGTAACTGACAATTTTTACAAAATAGCTCATCTCCATTTGCACCCCATCCATCAGGAAATGACCCCACTCTGCTGTACAACGAGGGGAGAGACGTCACTCTTCCACATCCATCACAGCCAAACTGACTGGGAGACTGGTCTTTGAACTGACTGGGTTGGAGACCTCACATTGATATTTTCCAGCATCCTCCCTCCAGACAGGATCTATGGTGAGTTGGCACTTTGACGGGGAAAGTGTCATCCTTTCTGTGAGCTGTAGAATCTGCTTATTGAAGAGCCAACGGATGGAGATTCCAGGGTCAGCTGAGAAGCAAGTGAAGACCACTGAGCTCTGTACTCTGACTGTGGTTTCAGTGACTCGCACAAAAGGCCGTGAAACAGGGTCTGTAAAGAAACAGAGGAGGGGACAAAGTGACAGTAGTCCTTCAGAGACCTCAATTATTCTCTCTATAGTTCACACTTAATAAAGATTCCAGGGAGGAAAAATTGGAGATGTTACTATAAACAAATCTTGTGTTTGGGATTTATCATCCATGAGCTGTGTGCCCCTCATTCACCCACTGGGTTTACTGTGTCTTGGTTTCTCTATAATATGGCATGTGGTACATGATCATTGCTGTGTTTATGACTTAAGCTTAGTTATGATAAATTTCTAAATCTTGGAATAAGGTAGATGCTCAAACCAGAAGTATATGTCTTCAGAAGAATATTCCCTATGCTGGACCCCTAGTAGTAGGGGTGGAGTAACTGTCTCCATTGCTTCTCCTTTGCGAACACTGACTTTCCTGGGAAGTCTCATAAACCCACCACAATAATTGTTTAATGCTCCAGGAACACGTGCAATATGATTCAGAAGAAGGTGATGGCCCAGATGGCCTACAAAACTTCAGCTTTCATGGCAGTGTATCATGGGTTCTGTGGTCTATAGAACTTGGGCAATCAGTATAAAGTTGCTCTCTGTAAGCTCTAACAGAAAATCAAAACAAAGCATTGACAAAAAGGTTCCCAGTGGCACCTGGAGATGAAGCATGAACACAGTTCGGAGCCTGGTGGGCTTTGTGAGGATTCAATGTCTTCTTCAACTAGGGCCTCCCCAAGGCACACAGGGTTTTTCTTGGTATATGGTGAGAACCCCAAGAGAATGTGCTGAGTCTGATGATCTAGTATTGAGTTACCCAGCATATGTTCTCCTCTCTGCAAGAAGATACTGGTGAGGGATTCTGATCTACTGCAATTTGTCTAATGAATGAGTGTCCTGTAGTAAGTGCCCAAACCCCAGTTTGGAGAGAAAATGTAATGGGAGACTGAGTAGGTCCAGCTCTTTCCAGACAGTATAGCATATAAAGCAGGATAAGCCAGGCAAAGCAGCTAAGTAAGCAGTAAGAGTCACTTACTATTTACATGGACTTGCACATGTGTTCTCTCAGTTTTGAAGTCCTTATGTAGAATTTCTAACATATACAATCCTGCATCATTTTCAGTGACATTCTGGATCATCAGGGATCCATTCGTATACACCATCTCTCTTCCACTGTGTGCAAGTCCCCAGATAGTGGATTCCATGGCTCTGCTATATTCTGCAATTTTAAATATGTCTGACCTATACACTGATTTGTACCAGAAAAGTGTTTGAATGTCTTCTGGCACATTATAAATGAGGAGAAGAACACTTTTCCCCACAGCAACATTCTGAGGCACCGGTTCAATCCTGAGTTGGTCAGAGGTGAGACGGTTACAGCAAGTAGAGGCTACAAGAAAGGAAAAAGTTATCAATTGAGAAACATTGGGTTGGAGGTAAAGGTAGTGAGCTTTTTCCGGAGCAGATGAATTGATTCTTCAGTTTAAACATGAAGGCATAGGTATGCCTCTCCTACCTGATGGAGGTCATCAACTTGACAACTTGACTTCCATTCCTTCAGGGGTGCTGAATGTAGGATCTCTCCTCTCTCTCTCTCTCTCTCTCTCTCTCTCTCTCTCTCTCTCTCTCTCTCTCTCT